TCTCTCTCTGTGTAACTCTGCCTTTCAAATTAAATAAATAAATCTTAAAAAAAAAAAAATGTCAAGTCTGTGTTTGCTTTCTACAGCTGACAAAAAAATATTTCCAAGGCACTTGCTTATTTCTCCAATACCTGCTGAGCTCCTACTAGAGTGCCAGGTAGATCCAAGTGTTTATGGTCTATGAGTAAGACATACTACAACTAGAAGAAATATGCTATAATGAATGTATCCACAAGATACTATAAAAACAAACAAGACGGTCAGGAAATGCCTTTTTAAGACTCAGGAATGGCCGGCGCCGTGGCTTACTAGGCTAATCCTCTGCCTGCGGCGCCGGCACACGGGGTTCTAGTCCCGGTTGGGGCGCCAGATTCTGTTCTGGTTGCTCCTCTTCCAGTCCAGCTCTCTGCTGTGGCCCGAGAAGGCAGTGGAGGATGGCCCAAGTGCTTGGGCCCTGCACCCACATGGGAGACCAGGAGGAAGCACCTGGCACTTGACTCCTGGCTTCAGATTGGCGCACCGCGCTGGCCGCAGCGGCCATTTGGGGGGTGAACCAACAGAAAAGGAAGACCTTCCTCTCTGTCTCTCTGTCTCTCACTGTCTAACTCTGCCTGTCAAAAAAAAAAAAAAAGAAAGAAAGAAAAGACAGACAGACTCAGGAACTATACCTGAATAAACGGAAATTGGCAGGTAAGGTAAAAATTAAAGTTGCATTTCCCAAATTTGATTGTACTGTATATCAGAACCACATAAAGAGCTTATATTTTAGCCTCATTTCAGATTTTATAAATCAGAATTTTCCAAATCTGAGCAATACATATTTTTAATGTGTGCCATGACTGATTCAGAATCCAAGGCAGGCCTAGGTAGCAGCACACTAGAAGGACTAACAGCCATTTCAGGCCTAGGGAATAGTTTAGCAAGGCTGGAGTATCTAAAAATCCAAAGATAAAACCAGAGAGAAATGAGAAGACTAGGGCTATAACTAATGTATTTCAAACCAGATTAGCATAATTAACAAGAACTTTCAAAACAAAAGACAATCATCTATTTCAAAGGCTTTAGTAAATGATTTATATATGAACTAAGTTATTACTGAAGCACACAGGAAGACTTAGTGCAAACACATTCTATTTCAAAACAAAGAAAAAATGAATATTCTTTTGAGAGGCCAATAAACCAGAACATTACTCATAATTGCTATTAAATGTAGTGATCAATCATTTCCCCTCAATATTATTTCAGGAATTATTATAGAAGTTACTGAAAGTGTTCCATAATGTATAAAATATACATAATTAAAATTCAAATTTTAAAATTACAAACAGTGCTTAATGACTTCAAATTTTCAAATTGTTATATTAAAACAATTTCTTACTTTCTGACTAAAGGTCATCTACAATTGTACTTTTATACTCAATTCTAGGCTGGAGTAAAATGATACATCACCAGTAAGAGGAACATTTACCATAATACACTAAAAGCACAACAATCTTTTCTATTGATTTCGATTTGTTAAATAATAAATGGTTTGGGGCAGATACGTGGCCTAGAGATTAAAATGCTACTTGGGACACCTGCATCTCATATTGAAGTGCTTGGGTTCAAATCCCAGCTTCACCCTGATTCCAGTTTCCTGCTAATGTACACCAGGGAGGCAGCAGGTGATGGCTTGAAGTTGGGTGCCCACCACCCACATGGGAGACCTGGACTGAGTTCACGACTCTCCACTTCAGCCCAGCCCAATAGTCCTGGACACTGTAGGAACTGGAGAGTAAACCAGCATGTGAGAACTCTGTCAGTCTATGCCCATTTTCTCTTTCTCTCTCTGTCTCTGTCAAATTAACAAACAAGTTTAAATGGTTTAAATTATCAACTGCTTAAATCCCCAATTCACTCTCACAACAAAGACTTCATAAACAGAGACACAGACAAGTAACCACTGAAAACAGAAATAAGCTTTTACAGAAATTCCTTCATAAACCTAGAGACAAACTTACTAAATGTAATATACAGAATACATCTTAATAGTATCTTCTATTTCTAAAAATTTCCTCCAAAGCATATGTAAATTATTTCAATGTATCCTAACAGCTGATTCACAGAACACATAAAGATTCATTTACCAAAGTAAAAACCTCTACCCAACAATGCATAGTGATTCTCCTGAGGAATACATTAGGTAAAGAAGCAATAGCAGTTAAAAAGCAAAGGACTAAACAGCTCAATTTAAAAGAACCAACAGACAAATGCCAAGAATTACAATTATGCACTTGACAGAACAAATCAACCTCCTTCTCAGACTTAATTTAATGTAATTTTAAAATCGTAATAATAGCTAATTGCCTTAATTTCCAGATGAAATATAGAAACTGCATTATGCTTTTATCAGTTTCTTAGGCTAAAGTGACCTATTTACATAGAACAAAATATAACTGCTTCCTGAGTGATGCACTGCTTCCTTTCTGCTCCTGCAGCACTTTATCCATATCTGTTTTTACTGCAAGTACTTGAACTTTGAAAAGAAGAAAGCACTATCATCATGTAAGATTCAGAAGTGGGCGAGGATGGAAAAATGACTTAGACAAAATCTCCTCTGAAGTCAGATTTCAAACTCATATCTGACTACAAAGATCCTTCCCTAGGGCTGGCGCTGTGGCGCAGTGGGTTAAAGCCCTGGCCTGCAGCGCCGGCATCACATATGGGTGCTGGTTCTAGTCCCGGCTGCTCCTCTTCTGATCCAGCTCTCTGCTATGGCCTGGGAAAGCAGTAGAAGATGGCCCAAGTCCTTGGGCCCCTGCACTCATGTGGGAGACCCAGAAGCTCCTGGCTAATGGCTTCAGATCAGCGCAGCTCCGGCTGTTTTAGCCATCTGGGAAATGACCCAGCGGATGGAAGACCTCTCTCTCTGTCTCTACCCTCTCTGCAACTCTTTCAAATAAATAAAATAAATCTTTAAAAAAAAAACAAGATCCTTCCCCAATGCCTCACAGTAGTTTATAAAATCAAACCGAAATAGCTGAATTCATGGCAGTTTCTTGCTGTACCTGCTTTGATAGTAGCGAAAACAAATCTGTAATAGACAAAGTCTATGTAGAGGATGGGATGTGAGTAGAGGTATGAGTGTGGAGACTTACATCTGAACTCATGTCCAACAAATAGGAAACTTCCCAGTTTATGAGTCTTCACAGAAAGCAGAGCTAATTTTCCTATACAGAAGCTAATAATGCCATACATCATTCTTCCAGAAACCCTGCAGCACAGACATGGTGCTTGATCTAGCCTCTGCCAATATGACATGTACAAAAAGGACTCTATAAGAGTTAGAGACAGTAAGCAGCCAGGACAATGAAGGTTAGATTTTGGCAGCAGGAGAAAGCAGCAACATTAAATTTCTAAAGGCAACAGTACCAATCACGCAGTGGCTGAGTCTAGCCTTCAGCAGCTTGAAATACTGTCACCGGACTGGTCTCATGCCATGACTTTTAGATGTCTTTTCTGCTATCTAGTCTTCCTTGTTCCTGACTAGCTAGAGCTAGCTTTCCTAACAATTCAGTGAAGTAATCAATATGCTTTCAATAAATTCCTTTTCTGCTTGAATCAACAAGCGCCCTCTGTTGCCTGCAATAAGAGCCTAGGGTGATTACTGAAGCCATAAACAAGAGTGTCAATTTGTTAAGTCAACAACAGGAGTCACTGTGCACTTACTCCTCATGTAGGATCTTTGTCCTTAGTGTGCTGTACATTGAGATTTAATGCTATAACTAGTTCTCAAACAGTATTTTTCACTTTATGTTTCTGTGTGGGTGCAAACTGTTGAAATCTTTACTTAATGTATGCTAAACTGATCTTCTGTATATAAAGAGAATCGAAAATGAATCTTGATGGGAATGGAAGGGGAGAGGGAGTGGGAAAGGGGAGGGTTGCAGGTGGGAGGGACGTTATGGGGGGGGGGGAAGCCATTGTAATCCATAAGTCGTACTTTGGAAATTTATATTCATTAAATAAAAGTTTAAAAAAAAAAAAAAACCCCTCTGGCAGAACCAGGTGTTGTGGTGCAGCAGGTTAACCCACTGCTTGGAATGTCCACATCCATACTGAAATGCCAGTTCAGTTCTCAGCTGCTCTGCTTCCAGTCCAGCTCCCTGCTAGTATGCCTGGGAGGCAGCAGATGATGATTCAATATTTGAGTTCCTGCCACCCATATGAGACTCAGATGGAGCTCCCAGCTCCTGGGTTGAGTCTGGTTAAGCCCCAGCTGTTGCAGTCATCTGGAAAGTAAACCAGTGCACAGAAGATCTCTCTCTTACTCTCTATCACTCTGCTTTCAAATTAAATACATTTTTTTTAAGAAAAAGTAAAACGGCCAGCGCTGCGGCTCAACAGGCTAACCCTCCGCCTGCGGCGCCGGCACACCAGGTTCTAGTCCCAGTTGGAGCACCAGATTCTGTTCCAGTTGCTCCTCTTCCAGGCCAGCTCTCTGCTGTGGCCCGGGAGTGCAGTGGAGGATGGCCCAAGTCCTTGGGCTCTGTACCCCATGGGAGACCAGGAGAAGCACCTGGCTCCTGACTTCGGATCAGCGCAATGCACTGGCCGCGGCGGCCATTGGAGGGTGAACCAATGGCGAAGGAAGGCCTTTCTCTCTGTCTCTCTCTCTCACTGTCCACTCTGTCAAAAAATAAATAAATAAATAAATAAATAAATAAGTAAAACAAAAACTCTAAGGTATCTAATAAAAAAAAAAACACTAAACAATCCTATTTTATCAAATCTGTTTACCTTAGTACTTGATTTCCCTCTCTTTTTTTAATTTGCCATCATCTTAGATACAACTATCCATACATAGTGGTCTATTCTAATAACAATAACAACATAAATAAAACTTCAAATCAGGTTTCTTTATCTTTTTCAAAAGCAAAATGAAAATGCAAATACAGTAACAATCATCTAAGTGTGATCTTCACTGGGGTTCAAAGTCAAGTTTTATTAAGGTTTCTTACCTGTCAGGAATACCTAGTCTTTTGACACTTCTATAAACAGAAAGAGTATTTGCAACATGCCGATAATTAAACCAGAATCGAGATGTACACACCTAAAGAATTAAAAAAAAAACAATTTTTATGAGTCAAAATAAACCATAGACTTATAGAAATATTTGTCTTTAAGCAGGATATAGGGATGGCTTAAAAAAGAGTTTCAAGCTTATAAACAGCAAAGTACATGGAGAACCATCAATAAAAACCAATCTTTCTGAACAGCAATCCTTCATAACTAGTATTAAACAAAAAAGACCATTAAATTTAAATTCAGGGAATTTAATTAAACATTGAACCAAGTCAGTTACTCTCAATTTTTATGATTATTTAATATGTCTGTTTCTAAGATTAAATTCTTTAGAAACAAAAGACAATGTCCATAATTTTTTCACAGAATACAAAAGAAAATTAGATGTTTTAAGTCATATCACATTCATTTCACTCTGGATTGCTTCCTTAATTGTGAGAAACACAGGAAATAGACTAAAATTTGACATACAAAACAGGGTTTTATCCACAAAAGAGGATGTATTATAAAGAAGCTCTTGAAATGAACAGAAAACCAGAAATAATTCAATCAATTTTTAGACTTAAAAAGAAAGATTCCCAAAAATTATACCAAGTAGGAAAATCTAATTTCATGTTAAAAGTCAATGTTCTTAGCCGGCGCCACAGCTCACTAGGCTAATCCTCCGCCTTGCGGCGCCAGCACACCGGGTTCTAGTCCCGGTCGGGGCGCTGGATTCTGTCCAGGTTGCCCCTCTTCCAGGCCAGCTCTCTGCTGTGGCCCGGGAGTGCAGTGGAGGATGGCCCAAGTGCTTGGGCCCTGCACCCCATGGGAGACCAGGAGGAGCACCTGGCTCCTGCCATCAGATCAGCGCGGTGCGCCGGCCACAGCGGCCATTGGAGGGTAAATCAACGGCAAAGGAAGACCTTTCTCTCTGTTTCTCTCTCTCACTGTCCACTCTGCCTGTCAAAAAAAAAAAGTCCATGTTCTTAAAAAGCCATTCTAAGTCAAGTAAACAAAGATTGGCATCACTTGGTATGAGATCCACCAAGCATACTCCTGCCTCCTACTACATGGTTTTGCTTATAGTAGGTATAAAAACAATTCTGAGAATAGCATAAATGCTCTTGCTCTTGCCAAACAGAGGAGTTATACAATTTGTTTTCATTAAAGTAAATTTTTCAACCTGGAATCCAACTTAAAAATCAAATAAAATTTCAACTACATAAAAATATAAATCCATGTCAAAAAACAGCACAAAACTATAGCTTAAATGTAAAAACTTGAAATCATATTCAAAAACTAATATTAATTATAATTCAATAAGAAAAAAATGAACACTTTTGAAAATGGGTAAAAGAGAAAACATCTCACAACAAACGCATTTAAAATGTACAAAACTCTTAAAGATGCTCATTCAAACTCAATCATACTTTAAAAATACAATTGATAAGTATCAAAAAATCTGAAAATTCCCAATATTGGTAAAAGTATAGGGAAATAAGTACTCAACTTTCTGATGGAAATGGGAATGACAATAATGTGTCATGTCCTGTATAGAACTGAAATAGAGCAGCTGGTAGTCTACAAAGGAAAAACTAGCTGCCTAGTTTTAGTTTATATGGTGTTGAAATAAATAGTGCACTGTAGCCCATAAAAATGTACTTCATAAAAGTGCATAAAAAGTTCAAAAAAGTCCATAAAAAGTATTTCATGATAATCAAAAACTCTTAAATATAAAATGATTTTTGTACAAAAATGGTAAGATCATTTTGAATCTAAAAAATGCAAATTCATACGTACAAGCAATCTTTAAAACATTTGTGGAAATGCCAATTAAGAAAAGAGTATGTAAAGATTCCAAAGTTTTTTGAACCAAAATAAATTAGTCTTTTCATTTTCCATGAATTTTTAAAAGTACCCTTGTATATCAAAATATCATATTGTACATAAATACATACATTTTGTCTGTCCATAAGAAAATAAATTTTTAAAATTAAGAAATGCTTCCTTTAATAATAGCACTCCAGTTTGCTCTTTTTAAAAAAAAACGGATTGATTGATTGATTGATTGGTTTGAAAAGCACATTGACAGAGAGGTTGTCTTCTATCTGCTGGCTCACTCCCCAAATACCTGCAATAGGCAGGATAAGGCCAGGTCAACACAAGGACCCAGGAACTCCATCCAGGTTTTCCATATGGGACAGGGACCCAAGATACTTGGGCTATCACCTACTGCCTTCCCAGGTGCACTAGAAGGGAGGTAGATTAGAAATAGCAGTTTAGGCCAGCGCCGCGGATTACTAGGCTAATCCTCTGCCTGCAGCGCCCGCACACTAGGCTCTAGTCCCGGTTGGAACACCGGATTCTGTTCCGGTTGCTCCTCTTCCTGTCCAGCTCTCCGCTGTGGCCAGGGAGTGCAGTGGAGGATGGCCCAAGTGCTTGGACTGGCCATTGGAGGGTGAACCAATGGCGAAGGAAGGCCTTTCTCTCTGTCTCTCTCTCTCACTGTCCACTCTGCCTGTCAAAAAAAAAAAAAAAGTAGCAGTTTAATCTGCTGTGCCACAAGCCCCCCCTCCCTCTGCCAATTTATTCTCATATCTATTTGAGGTTACCACTTAACATACTGTGGGCAAAGCATATTATTACAGTATTATTAATGAAATAGTCAATTTAAAACATGACCAGGTCAAAATAAAAAGTTTGTTATAAGATACAAAAAAAGGGGTTGGCGCCATGGCACACTAAATTAATCCTCCGCCTGTGGCGCCAGCATCCCATGTGGGCAGCCGGTTCTAGTCCTGGCTGCTCCTCTTCCAGCCCAGCTTTCTGCTGTGGCCAGGGAAGGCAGTGAAGGATGGCCCAAGTGCTTGGGCCCCTGCACCCCATGGGAGACCAGGAGGAAGCACCTGGCTCCTGGCTTCGGATTGGCGTAGATCCAGCCGTTGAGGCCATTTGAGGAGTGAACCAGCGGAGGGAAGACCTTTCTCTCTGTCTCTCTCTCTCACTGTCTGTAACTCTACTTGTCAAATAAATAGCCTGAAGCACCGGCATCCCATATAGGTGCCACTTCTGATCCGGCTCTCTGCTATGACCTGGGAAAGCAGTAGAAGATGCCCCAAGTCCTTGGACTCCTGCACCCACGTGGGAGACCCAGAAGAAGCTCCTGGCTCCTGGCTTCGGATTGGCACAGCTCCGGCCATTGCAGCCAATTGGGGAGTGAACCATCGGATGGAAGACCTCTGACTTTCAAATAAAATAAAATAAATCTTTAAAAAAATACAGAAAAATAAATTTTATTTTCAAAAATTTGGTTCCACAAAATTTCTCAGACATTTATCTAATGTGAACAGCAAGGTATATCTTTGGAGAATTTACTTACCAAAACAGCCCAGTTGTTTGTATGGCCACTTCTAAAGAATTGTTCTGCTTGATCCTAACAGGCAAATAAAAGCAAAACAAATAGATAAAAAAGGCCACAATTTCACAGAATAAGAACCAACAAAGGACAGGTTTTTTTTTTTTTTTAAGAGTCATTATAACAATCATCTTAAGTTTAGGAAATAAATTTGTGAATATTCATAACATCATTAGTTTATGAATATTCTAGTATTTGATCTTATGGACATAATAAGGAAAAAAATAACTTACAGCTTAGGTTACAATATGGAAAAAAGCCATTGTAATCCATAAGCTGTACTTTGGAAATTTATATTCATTAAATAAAAGTTAAAAAAAGTTTAAAAAAGTCCTGAACTGGAAATCTGGGTTTTATTTGTGGTTTACACACTGATTAAACATAGCAACCTTAATCAAGATACTAATGTTTCGTAAGACTCAGCGTCCTAATGTGCAGAATGAAAGCAATGCCATTCCTACACCAGACTTATTTTACAGACTGTGAACATGCCTGTACAAGGGCTTCCGCTCTAAAAATTATGAAGCATTATACAAATAAAAGCATTTTACAGAGTTCACATCTTCCTATTTCCCATACCCTGAGAACAATTAAGAAAAAAGAAAGCACGCTCGATAGAGAACACAGGACTTGGTTCAACAGATTTAACCAGGATATTATTTAAAATTGCAACCTAACCTCACTATTTTCTCCACCATAATTTATTTTCTCCATTGTGTTCACCATCTTCTCCCATTACATATCATTAACTTATTTATGATTTTGAATATTTTTTGAATTAAGGAACATATGGTCTAAATGCCTTGACTAGAAGTGAACAAAGCAAGAGTCTCTCCTAGAACACTGAAACCACACAGATGATGGGTTCAGCACAAGCAGCTATTACATAAAGGCTGTACCATACAACTACAAATCTCAAAGTTTCCTCTTAGGTTATATTTTGGTAATCCCTCTACTAAAGTGATCATTTTCTGCTGTAAGAATTCAAGATTAAAATGTTTATGCCAGGAAATTCTCAAAGATTAATATTTCACTCAGGTAATACAGTTTTTATCCCCATGAGTTTGTTGTGAGACATAACATAATCCCCTTATACCCTCAAGCGAAGCAAAATTATCACCCCTTAAATGTCACATAGAAGTCTTCAATGCTTTAGTCATTTAATAATCATTACTGTTGATTCTCTAAAATCTCTACAATTGTGGTGAGTCAGTCTTTAATACTGGTCACAATATTAACCAATATTAAAGTTCAAACAAATGTATTGAGGCATCCATGAAGATTGTTGAGCTTTATTTTTTGCTGCAGGGTAATATTAGTGAAAGCTGTTTGTTTTTAAACATTTTACACACACAGCCAGGGCTTCCTCACTGTCTTATAATTTCCCATTCAGTCTTGAAATTGTGAATGGCTTATGTCATGTCTGGATTCTAATTAATATGTTTCCTGTTAAAACTTCATTCAACATCTGTTCTTACTTTGTGCCAAATTCTTCTAATTTCATTCAACATCCAGTCTTATGTGCTTAGTAATTTATTTGAATTCACCAAGATATTTGATCGATAATATACTTCAGTGTTATTTGATGTACCCTTTCACTAATCTGTTAAAGTAGGAATTATATCTGCATATTGAGACATTAAAAATTTCAGCATCCAATACTATGCTGACACCTAATCAACATGATTTTAATTATCTATTAAAAATGGATATAAATCGGCCATTGCTGCGGCTCACTAGGCTAATCCTCCGCCTGTGGCGCCAGCACTCTGGGTTCTAGTCCCGATCAGGGCACCGGATTCTGTCCTGGTTGCCCCTCTTCCAGTTCAGCTCTCTGCTGTGGCCCGGGAGTGCAGTGGAGGATGGCCCAAGTGCCTGGGCCCTGCACCCGCATGGGAGACCAGGAGAAGCACCTGGCTCCTGGCTTTGGAGCACTGCGCCGGCTGTAGCAGCCATTTGGGGGGGGGGGGGGTGTGAACCAATGGAAAGGAAGACCTTTCTCTCTCTCTCTCTCTCACTGTCTAACTCTGCCTGTCAAAAAAAAAAAAAAAAAAAAGGATATAAATCATACAGATCTGCTCCCACATAGTGTAATTACTAAATCATCTGAGTGCCTGGAATCAAAGTTAGGCTCTTTTGCTTCCAAACTTAGAAAAACTGCTTAACTTCTCTGTCCTTCCATTTCCCAACCTAGAAAATGGCAATAATATTGTCTGACTCACAGAATGTAGTAACAGTAACTAGAACACATAATTGCCTAAAAAATGTTAGCAGTTTTAAATTTTGGCTAACACAAAAATTTCAGGGAGAATGAAAATAAAAAATTCCATTCAAATGTGTGTGTGGTGTACACATAAATAAAATTTTTCACCCACCATAGTTTTCTCAAGAAAACTAGATGCTGAAGAAAGCAATACATTGCAGTAGAAAAAGCATTAGTCTGAGAATTTGAAGACCTGAGCTAAATACCAGATGTTTCTCTCCAGTATGCTGTGAGATCAAGAAAAGCCATTTAGTACTTTAGACTCAACTTTCCTCATATAGAAAATAATAACTGACTCAAACATTATCTAATGTACCTTCCAGCTCCAAAGTCAGTTCCTTAAGACTTTAGTGTACATTTGAGATGAAAAAACTCTTTCATGATTTTTTAGGCAATACAGTCACTATAAAGTTATTCATTCCATGTAGTTAATGGAGCATCTATCATAAGCCAGGTACTATATAATGTACACTGATAGAAAAATTACTAAAAAGTATGTTGCTTTCTCTCAAGAATACCAGCATTCAGTAAAGACAAGCATGAATACCTATTTCACTACAATGTAACATTATAAATTCATCACATTGATTGAACATCATGTGCTTATCACTGCCCTGAATATTCAGAATACAATGATGAGCAATTATTCTCTCAGTACTTACTTGCCTTCAAGGAGGCTGCTATCCAACTAGACACACATTAAGCAGTTAAGGTAAAACTATTAATCCTATCAAAGAAAGACCCATAGTAAATAAAAACAGTATAACATTGGGGACCTGACTTGGGGTCTCTAAAGAAGTGGCATTTGGATTAAGATCCAAAAGATGAAGATATGAGGGAAGAAAAGCTCAGATAAAGGGAACATGAGCCCTAATAGTTTTGAAAAACTGAAAGACTAGCAGAACTGGAAGACTGAAAGAGGAAAGAAAAGGTGAGAAAAAGGAAGGGTGGAGGAATGAGAGAGGTGAGAGAGAAAAGGGGTGGGGGGGGGGACACAAATTAGGAGTATAAACAGAGGGGCCGGCGCTGTGGTGCAGTAGGTTAATCCTCTGCCTGCAGTGCCAGCATCCCATATGGGTGCCAGTTCTAGTTCCAGTTGCCCCTCATTCAATCCAGCTCTCTGCTATGGCCTGAGAAAGGAGTAGAAGATGGCCCAAGTGCTTGGGCCCCTGCACCCACATGGGAGACCCAGAAGAATCTCCTGGCTCCTGGCTTCGGATCGGTGCAGCTCCAGCCATTGTGGCCATCTGGGAAGTGAACCAACAGAAGGAAGAACCTTTCTCTCTGTCTCTCCCTCTCACTGTCTGTAACTCAACCTCTCAAATAAATAAAATCTTAACAACAACAACAAAAAAGAAATATAAGCAGAGGTCAATTATGCAGTTTTGTTTCTGAGTCTCAATGAAGAGTTTATTCTTCAAAGCAACAGTAAGGCACATAAGAATGACACAATCAGATTTGCACTGCACTTGGAGAACAGATAGGAAGGAAGACTGACTGACTCATGGCAGACAAGTTAAGCAACGCTTGCACCTGAGAGATGACAGAATAATAGTACAAAGTACACATAGGTTCCAATAGATGAAGCTTTAATACAAATTACAACAGAAAAAGCTTTAATGCAAATTACAACAGAAAAAGTCAATGATAAGGATTGGATAAGGTCTAGAAGTTATCCTCTTACTGCATCTTAGGAAATAGAGAAAACAGAATGTATAAAACAGGGTCGGCGCTGCAGCTCAACAGGCTAATTCTCTGCCTTGCGGTGCCGGCACACCGGGTTCTAGTCCTGGTCGGGGCACCGGATTCTGTCCCGGTTGCCCCTCTTCCAGGCCAGCTCTCTGCTGTGGCCCGGGAGTGCAGTGGAGGATGGCCCAAGTCCTTGGGCCCCTGCACCCCATGGGAGACCAGGAGAAGCACCTGGCTCCTGCCTTCGGATCAGCGCGGTGCAACGGCCGCAGCAGCCATTGGAGGGTGAACCAACGGCAAAAGGAAGACCTTTCTCTCTGTCTCTCTCTCTCACTGTCCACTCTGCCTGTCAAAAAAAAAAAAAAAAGAAAAAAAAAAAAAGAAAAAAAAAAAAAGGACAGAATGTATAAAACATAATAAAGTGAAAAAGCACAGCAATTGTATGGTATCCAAAACAAAGTATTCAAGATAATCCACTAGAATGAAGAAGGGAAAACAGAACTTCTACTCATATTTATATTATCTAAAAATATGCTATATACACATTGAATACATAAATTATCAGTAATGCATGAACATATATAGAGTGCATGCTCAATTATCTTTTTCTAACTGAAAGTTAGGGTCCAAGTTCAAGGGCTGAGGTAATGGGGAGAACACTATTAAAGGAAGCAGGGACCAGATTAAAATGTTTACTTTCTTTATTTTATACCCATGGAACAAAGATTAATGAAAGGATTCAATCAGAATAACCTGATCCAGCTAACATTTTATGAAGACTAGCATCACCGTGATGGAGTACAGAAACCTAGAAGAAATAAGAGTAACTGCAATCATCTAGACCAGAAATGGCCAGGGCCTGAATGAAGCCAGTGGAACTGGAGAAGTGAAAGCAATCTTAAGAGTTCAGAACATTCAACTTAGTGATAATCAAAATGTGGGATACAACAACTTGTATTTCTAGCTTAGGAGCACCATTTCTGGGCTAAGAAATGCAGGAGAACAGGAAGGCTTAGTTTTTCAGTGTCTTTTTAAGAGGAGGTGGGATAAGCAGAAGAAAAATCTTTGGACACCGATTTCCAAATATATCTGATTACCTCGGTCCCTTCGCAAGCTGGAAATGCAGCTAGAGATCTTGCTTATAGAATTGGACTGAGGAATCATCAGAATACAGGAGAGTGAAAACGTTACAAGGCGACCAGAAGTTCGGGCGGCCAGTTTTTTAAAAATAGGGGGAGTGGAAATCAGGAAAAAACACTGTACCCATCTGACTGCTATCAAGAGAGCGATGCCTTTCAGTCGTAGGAAAGCAGCTGCCATTCACTGGAGGTGCCACCTCCCCACTATGCACTGCACAAACGTAGGAGCAAAGGATCAGTTCTTTCTCCGAGGACATGATCCTTTTAAATTTTCGTTTTCAAAGGCTGAAACGGACCCATCCTGTCCTATCCCACCCCCGGTGAAACCCCAACTGCAGCCCAGCCTGGCTCAGAGGTTTCACTCAGCTGCTGTGTCGGACATCAGCCGGGGCGTTCACAGCCCACGGAACAGCCGTCCTCCCAAGGCTCCGTCGTCAAAAGAGGCTGACTCCTACCTCGATCTGACTAGCGGCCAGGCTGCCGAAGGACAAGAGCAACAACACCGCCAAGAGAGCCGCAGGCTGGCGGACACAGTAGGCGGCGGCCATGATTGTCGGCTTCGGACTTCCCGCACCTGGAGGGGCGGAGCGAGTGCCGTAAAGCAGCGCGGGGGACTTCCGCGTGTTTTTGTGGGAATTTTTTTGCGACGCCACACCCACCTCCTCGAGTCCCGCCCCCCTCCAGCCTGTGGAAGTCCACGCTTCCACCGAGTTCTAGTGTTCCAGGGGCCGCGTGAATGGAGAATGTTGGCTTTATAACTGTAGCTGCATTTTTAGTTATTGTATTGTAGAATAGATAAAATAAGAAAAAGTTTTAGGACCGGCGCTGTGGCGTAGTGGTTAAAGCCCTGGCTTGCAACCCCAGCATCCCATTTGGGCTCCAGTTCGAGCCCCTGCTGCTTCACTTCCAATCCAGCTCTCTGCTATGGCTTAGGAAAGCAGAAGATGACTCAAGTCCTTGGGCCCCTGCACCCACATGGGAGACCTGGAAGAAGCTCCCAGCTCCTGGCTTCCAGTCGGCGCAGCTCTGGCTGTTGCAGCTATTTGGGGAGTGAAGCTGTGGATGCAAGACCTCTCTCACTCTACCTTTGCCTCTAAGTAACTCTGCCTTTCAAATAAATAAATAAATCTTGAAAGAAAAAGAGAAAGGGAGGAAGGAAGGAAGGAAAGAAAGAAACCTTGAAGCATGTTAAGGAAAAACCCATAATTCCATAAAAAGAACTGGCCAGCATTGTGGGGCAGGGGATTGAGCCACCTGGGATCTCACAGGAGAGCCCTTTTGAGTCCTGGCTGCTCCACTTCCAATCCAGCTCTGTGTTAGTGTACCTGGGAGGGCAGTGGATGGACCGAGTTCTTGGGCCCCTGCCACCCACAGGAGGCCTCAATGGAGTTCCTGTCTCCTAGCTTCCGCCTGGGTTATAGTCATTTGGGGAGTGAACCAATGAATGGAGTCTCTCTCTCTCTGTCTCTCTCTCCCTCCCTTTCTCTGCCCTTCAAATAAGTAATTTTTAAAAATTCTTTTGCATAGTGTTTCCAATTATTTGAGTATATGAAGTGAGATGTGGTGGGAGAACAGTGTTTGGGTACAAAATATTATTATTAATTGAATAAACTTCAAAAAGAAATGCAATGGGTGCTGCAACTCAGAGGCTTGGATCCATTACTTATTGAAAGAATACAGATAAGGAACTGAGTGTATTTTTTTTGTCTCCTCTGCAATTTTGCAACTAAAACATTACTCAAAGAGACATAAATCATGTATATATGTTCAACTATTCCCTTTATTCTATGCACTCAATTTTAAACTCTGCTTTTCATCTTGTGTGACATGACGTTTCTGTGCTGCTTCATAGTCCTCATTATTTTAACATTTAATGGCAACATGAAATTCCATCTATTATTGACGCCACAGCCAAAGTCATTGCCCTTATAATTTTTACTGAGAAAATAGTGTTGTAAAGCTTGCAGTTGGCTTTTTACATATGATGAATTCTTTTCTTGAGATAATTTTTCTGGCATAAGAATCTTGCTTAAAAGATTCAGAAATACTCTAATACTTACTGCTGATGTTGCTTCCCAAAGTGTACAGATTTACAGAATATACAACCTAACATCAAATTATGCCATTTTTTCCCTTCAAATTCCTTGGTATGAAATCCTACCTCAAGGTTGTTAGACTTCCAAGTCTTTTTTTCATTGTTATCAGGATCTGATATTTTCCCTGGTGTTTGTATACTATCTTTATGCCGCATTCTGGGCTTCTGGCACCAGCTAGCACCCAGTCCAAGCCATTGCAATCCTGCGGCCATTGTAGGCATTTGGAGAAGAGATATCTCTCTCCCTCTCTCCCATCTACCCACCTTCTCTCTCAAATAAATAATTTTTAATGTATCCATGTGTCCTCTGGTATAAATATTCTGTTTATTTGTTTTTATATAAGAATGTCAATGATATACGTATGAAGTGACATTAACCCTTGCCATATTTTATGCTATTGCTTTTTCTATTCTTTTGTCTCTCCTTTTGTTTACTTTGCTTTTGCACTTGGTGACTGGTTTAGATTTCCTGTCATACAAAGCATAGAATATCAATACACTATCAGAATTTCTTCCAATTATTCCTTAATTCAACAAATATCTATTGAATTCAGATAGGGCACCAGACTGTTGCAGCAAGAAATACTTAAATGGTTCTTGCTCTCATAAATCTTACATATAGAAAGGAAAGCACAGAAAAGAAAAATGAATACAATACATTCTCATAAAGATACAAATACAATAAAGTGATCAAAATTAAAGGGAAAAGGAGATACTACTTTGCTGGGGTGATCAGGGAAATCCTCTCTGTAGAAGTGATATTTGATCGGAGACCTGAATGAGCTGAGACATAAAAGAGCTAGCCCTGCAAATGAAGGGAGAAGGGGAGTGCATTTTTTTTAAAGATTTATTTATTTAGTTGAGAGGCAGAGCTACAGATAGAGAGAGGGACAGACAGAGAGAGAGGGAGAGAGAGAGAGAGAGATTCCATCTGCTGCTTCACTCCCCAAATGGCTGCAATGGCCAGAACTGGGCCAATCCGAAGTCAGGAGCCAGGAGCTTCTTCTGGGTCTGTGATGTAGATGCAGGGGCCCAAGGCCTTGGGCCATCTTCTACTGCTTTCCTAAGCCATAGCGGAGAGCTGGATCGGAAGTAGAGCAGCCAGCTCTGGAAGCCGTGCCCATATGGATGCCAGTGCCACAGGCAGAGGCTTAACCTACTATGTCACAGCACCAGCCTTCAGTGCATTTCTAGTGTTTATTTTTTCACTAGTTTTATTTTGCTTTAATTTTATATTTAATCATTCAACTATCTGGAATACATTTTGGCATACTCCATAAGATAATGTGTGAGTTATCTATTAAACACCCAATATATTATGGTATGTCCAAACTCCGTAGGGGCCATGGCTTTCAAAACTGGTGTTCTGTTATCTAATAAAATTATCTACATTGTCAGTTCCTCTTCTATTGACTCATGATACTTCTTTGTTAAATTACTTTTGAAATGTATTTGTTTGCAGGGCAGAGAAACAGAGAAAGCTCCCATCCACTAGTTCATTTCCTCAAATGTCTGCAATGGCCAGGACTGGGCTGGGCTGAAGCCAGAAGCAACGAATTCAGTTCAGGTCTCTGACATCAGTGGCAGAGACCCAACTACTTGAATCATTACTATTGCCTCTCACAGTTTGCATTAGAAGGAAGCTAGAATCAGGAATTGAACCTAGTTGCGCCAATGTGGGGCATAGGTGTCTTACATGTTAGGCTAAATGCTAGCCCTTTGTTTATTAATTAAATTCTTATAAAATACAGTGTATTTCTTCATATTTTGTTTTCTTCTATTAAAATACATGTCTGGGATAGGCATTTGGCACAGGGGATAAGACAACTCATGGGATGCCTGCGTCCTATAGCAAATTGCCTGGGTTGGAGTCCCAGCTCCACTTCCAATTCCATCTTCCTACTGCTGTGCACCCTGGGAGGCAGCAGGTGATGGCTCAAGTATTCGGTCCCTGCAATCCATAGGAGAGTATCAGATTGGTATCTGGGCTCCTGCCTTTGGCCTACCCCAGGCCAATTGTAGGCATTTGGAAAATGAACCAGAAGATGGGAGATCACTGTGTCTACCTCTCCCTCTGAATCTTTGCCTTTCAAATAAACACTTAAAATTTTAAATCTATGTCTATTTTGAGACTCGTACCTCATCATTTTAGTTACTATTGCCTTTATATGTTTTAATATGAGTATTTTAACATTAGAGCTAGCCACTTTGGTGTACTTCATTTTTCACAGAAATGTTGTCATCTGCTAATATTCCAGTCGAAATTTATAAAAAAAACTTTTCAAGTCATAAGAAATGTGATTTTCATTTTTATTCTTATACTGCATTTATTAACAATTTTAAGTGAAACTGGTATCTTTAAAATATTGTTTTCACCTGGGGATATGGAAGTCTCTTAACTTTTGAAAATCTATCAGTAAATCTTTGTGCCACTGATATCGATAATCAGACTATTTCCTGAATATAAAAGATATTCAAAAAGTTCATGGAAAATGCACTTTCCAAAAAAGATAATTATGAATTTCAAAAATTTTTGTATCAAAATAAACATATTCCATTCTTCTATTAATTTTGAAGTATATTAATATGTTTAATATTTGTTAAAGTACTTAAAAGATTTTTATGAAGGAAAACATATAAATGTTTTATATATTAAAACATATAAATTATATATTCGTAACATCTATAGTATTGATTGTGTATTTTAATCAGTTATTGCTGATGTCTGGGCCATATTTTATATCTATTCTTTCATTATTTTCATAATAAGAATTATTTCATTACTTAATAATGAAACTCATTTAAAACTTTTGTTTGTTAAATTGTTCTGACTTTTCTGGTTTTATAATAATCTGTGAATTATCTTTTTATTTCTTTCATTTCAGCAATATATTTTAAATTTTTTTTCCATAGTGTATGTTATGGCTCAGTAGTAATAATGTTGACCGCAAGCAGTCTTTTTCATTTTGTTTTGGTTTTAAAATCAATAGTTTTAGCATCTTTCCATTAAGTCTATTATTAGTACTGGTATTAGAGTAAGTACTCATTCTCATCTTAAAGGAATAGGTTTTCATCATATTGCACCCAACCGAGTCTACCCCATGTTATAATCATGATCTCAACATTAAAATTAATAAAAGGATTCACAAAACTGTGAAACTGAATCAGAAGAATCAATATCATTAAAATGTGTCTACCAAAAGCAACTTATAGATCAATGAAATCCCTATCAAAATTCCAATGACATTTTTAACATAACTAGAAACATAACGCTACTAAAATTTATAGAAAACCAGAAAAGATCCCAAATAGCCAAAGGGTCTTGAACAAAGAGGACAAAACAGTAAGCATCACACTATCTGTCTTTAAAATATGTTACAGGAGCTGGTACTGTGGCACAGTGGGTTAACGCCCTGGCCTGAAGCACCAGCATCCCATATGGGCACCGGTTCTAGTCCCGGCCACTCCTCTTTCAATCCAGCTCTCTGCTATGGCCTGGGAAAGCAGTGGAAGATAGC